AAAGGGCGAGTGCGCGCGCCACGGAGCTAGGCTGCTCTCACGGTAGTTCCTGGGGGTCAGAGGGCGATACACCTATCCACTGCCTAGAACCCGGGCCGTGTCGCAAGCACCTCTCCTCTACTCGCCGCCCCCCGTGTACCCGAGAGCTCGCACTCTCCGATCCCGGCTACTCGCGGGCTCCTGCGCCTAGACGTGCATTCCTCTTATCGTTTCTCCATTCGGCCGGCGCGCCGGTTCCTCCTGAACGATGCCATGGCATCAATAATGCAAGTAGACAGTCCGCTACATGTCTATAGCCGCGCGTACCTCAACTATACATTCGTGTCTTTAACGCTGTCGACCCTGGATCGTTACTCTTTTATACAACATACACAAATTTCAAATAAACATTTGTGCTCTTTCCAATGTCCGGATAGTTTAACGCTTGCATCAACGCATAATTAAACTTTCTTAAAATCCTTACAGTCGCCGGACGTTAACGAAAGGTACAAGTCGAGTGTCTCCATGAGATTCCAAGTAGCGTCGGCAAACAGACTTCCCGATTGCATTGCTGATCGGAAGAGCAAGAACAGAAACTCGAATGCTTTCGACACCCGATGCCCATTCTGCCGATCTATCAGGCAAGCCGAATGATTCTCCACGTCGGGGACTTCCCCGAGAGTTTACTTGTTCACTTGTCTCCAGGGAGCTCCGACTTGGTCGGCTGCGTTGAGGTTTAACGATTCGTTTCCACGGAGCGAGACAGAAGCCGCCTTGACAATCCGGCAGGAGGCAGGCATAGGCAGCCTTGAAGCCACCTTGGACCGCGAGAGTGGAGAGTGACCATTCGCCTCTTACGGATTCTTACGTTTTACGTCGTCCGTCATTTGCTCACGCAGTTGTTCTGCTTCTCACTCTCTCTGCTCACTCTCTCCTACCTGCAGTCAATTGCCCCTTGGACGTGGAAAGAACTGTGGAACAGCGCATCCCGCATCGCGCACCTCCACGGGACTCCCGGAGGAGTCGCCCACCAGAGACTCGAGGACGGCTCTCGCAGTAGCTGGTGCCGCGACTCCGGAGGGAGCAGGCTATGGGTGCGTGTAACGTGGGTACGTGTCATCGTGGAAGCGTGACGCGGCGATAGGGTCCTACTTTCTCTCCCGCGGCAAATCGCACGCACGCGGCCTATCGAACAGGCAACCGGCCGACGCTGTCAAGGCGCTTGTGCTAGTCGCTGTGCCAAGCAGTTGGGCATCGGTTAGTCAGGCAGGCGGGCAGGCGGGCAGGCGGGCAGGCGGGCAGGCGGGCATGTACGGTTAAGCTAGAGTTCCAAGTGAACGTGCAATATGATAATTAACTTCTCGCTAGAAGACCGAGTGGGGAGGAACCAATAATATTATCAGGGTTTCAATTTATCGATTAAATCTCTAGGCAGAATTTTACTCGCCGCCAGAAGTAACACAGTGTCACTCTTGCTTGCAGTGTCTATTTATCCATATGCATAAATCGAACGACGAAAGCTTGTCAGCCGCCTGCAAGAGGCTCGACGTTTCCAAGCAGCTTCAGCCCTCCTTCTTCTTCTTCTTTCAATCGAGCAGAGAGATCCTCCAGCTGTACGAGTGAGAAAGGGCGCGAGAGGCTTCCCACCCTGAAGGTTCACAGCCGTCGTTACAGAATCAGTTCGCCTTAAGCCTGCGGCACGTATCGGCCGCGTGTGGACGGCGGTAGAGTCGCTACTAGGAAGTGTGTGCTCAGCGTCGAGACACGAGCCGCCGGTGACTGCAGCTAAAGGCCCGCTCTCCATTGCGAAGCACACGTGGCAACCATCAGCCTTGGATTCCTCTCGGTGACTCGACATTCGATCCTAACGTTACGATGTTCCAAGAGCAACGCGATTAGAAGAAATGATCAAAGGATCAACGAGAAGGTAGCCAGAGTACTCGATTCCATTGTAAAATGGCCAATGGGACGCGTGGGCCAGGATCCTAGGTGCGGAGGACACCGAGATCCATCCAAAGATGCATTTCGTAGACATAAGAGTAAACGACGCACGTGTGTATACGAGCCGGAGCCAGTTAGGCAACGTCGGAGAACTCGGAGAATTACGAGATAAGGGAAAAGTGATGTAGCGACATGAAATCGGGTCCTTACACAATGGAAAGTCAAAATTGAATGACGACGTATCAGCGACTGTTGCCTCGAGCACCTGGCCAGCTATCAATCACGCCCAAATTCGTTTGTTCCTTGATACACGTTACGCGGTACCTGAACGGTAATACACATAGGAGTTACTCGGCTACGAGACAGAGGTATCTGTCGCCCGTGATCTCGACGCGCGTTGTGAAATTATTCGGTCGGAGGTCGACTACCCATTGGCCGATTGGCCGATTGCCCGATTGCCCGATTGGCCCCCCTCGTCCTGCGCCTGGAATCTACGTAGACGCTACTGGCTCTGCCAGCACGTGTGCGGGCATAGCGCGAGCGAGTAGCTTTGCTCGCTGTCACCGTAGCCAGTCTATTCTCGGCCAATCGCTTCGGAGGAATACATTATCGAAACGAATCCGATAATTATGCACATGCCCCCATTCAACTGGGACAGTCCGAATTAGGGCTGAGATTCATACATATTTAGGCAGTCAGGCACTCGCAAACATATCTCAGGGAGATGTTTGTATTGTACCTGATCGAGGGCTCCACCCGTCAACTCTTCTTCTAGCGAGCATCGCTTCTTTCTTTATTCCCCAGAAATATATTTTTTAAGGCTACATACTCATATACGGCCAACAGCGCTGGCATAAGTTTGCGCAAACTCTGGGATATCGTTAGAGGAACGTAATTCTTTGTATTCACGCAGCAGTGGGGACACGTCGACCACATGTCACAGTGGCAATATGTAGGCTATATGTAGGCCAAACCTAGCAAAAAGTCTGGCGAGCCTGGCGCTGAAAGTTTTTGCCGGAAGCCTGGGAAGTTAATCCACTAAGGATTTCATCCAAGTTCCTTTTCTCTCTCTCTCTACTCATTTCTTTATCTCGCGTCTTCAATATCGTTTGAACGTTCTGACTAGGAGAGCTCCGGAATAAGCATTTGTCGTTGAAACACATCCTCGGAAACAAAGTCGGGCCGAATTATTCTGATCTAGTTGTTCTCGATCAGCCGAGAATAGCCGAGAACAGCCGAGAACGAGCCTGGGGCCGAAAGAAGCGATTCTCCTACCTCCACGTGTGTCCCTGCGATGTAGAGACGTGCGCGACCTAGAGATACATTCCCAGAGGCACTCGTAGCCTGCACCCACGTGTAGATCGATGCTCCGTAGGATTCTAGCAGCCTACTTGTAGAAAACCGGATCGCGTGGGACATGGCTGGGAAGAGTTAAGGAGAAAAGAGGACTGCGATAGAGCAGCTACCAAAGAGCTTTTCCGTTGGTTTCGCAAAACTCGAAACGGAGCGAGGAGTCGCTTTAACTGCTAAACTTACCTGTACAGGCACCGTGTACCTGTACTCGAGAAGGAGTCTTGTGGTAACGGCAGGTACGTGTCACGTGACGGCTCCACGTGGTGGCACGTGGAGGGGCGTGGCTCGTGGGAGGGACGTCCTTCCACGGCAATCCACTTGGCACACGCGGTTCGGCTACCCTACTCTGTCTCATCCTATCCTAACTTCCTGCACCCCACCTTGTCCCCGTCATTCGGTTCATCTTGCCTTACTTTGCCTTACTTTGCCTTACTTTGCCTTACTTTGCCTTACCTAGAATTATCTCGCTTTAGCTCGGTAGAGTCCGACTCGCTGTTCGCACCTCGTCTTCCACGTGGTCTCGCGGAGATCCTCGAGACGTCTCGGGACATCGTTCCTCCTTCCTCCACAGCTCGGCCAGGTATGTCCTGGACCTATTGTCGCAGTCCTTCCTGTCCCACTCTTGCCATTTCCCTGGTCCAAGTCAGGCCGGAACATATTGACACGTACCCGGTACTCTTCCAACCGTACTAGCTCTGCTGGGAGTTGAATGTAATCATACCCGTGACTATCCGATTTAGATGCCAATCGCTATTATGCTGATGATCAGGGTGCTTTAGAGGGGCTGAGCTCGCTCCTGGGGGCTGTATCGGATTACGAGGGATGAGTAAATCTATGGATGCCCTCACCTCTGCCCTAACGACCTGGAGCTTTGTTAGTTCATTTTTATTATTTATTTGCTTGAAGGAGCAAGAAGCCGGACAGCAGGGTCAGCCGAGGTTGGCTGGTTTGTTAATGTGACGCGAGGTCCTTTGATTGACCAAGAGCAAGAGAGGATCTCCCGACTGTACTACGCTTAGAGGCGCGTAGAGGCGCGTAGTGCCCCGGCAATATCCCCCAAGTTATACGTCGTGATAATATCGTATAATAATCGGGGTGGTGGCGTTTACTAGTGTGTAAGGGGTAGTATTTTAAATGCCAATGATTTCATATCTCCCTCGGGTACCTGGGGGTGAAGGAGACTCTATATAGACCCGCCTGCGAGGACGCGACTCTCAGTCGTCGACGACGAGAGCGACGGGAGCGACCGAAGGAAACGAAGAGAGATCCTCCTGGGCAGGTTGGCCCGCAGGGCCCAGAGGAACCATCCGAGTCAGTGAAAGTGCCCTTGAAATCTGAGTTAACGCGACTTGGTTAGCCGTCTCGCTGTTGCTCCCTACCCGTCTGGGTGGCTGCGGCTGTCCGGAGGATGGACCCTTCGAAGCGGCCCATAAAACTTAAGCTTGCTCGGAGATTCGAATGGGAGAGCGCATAGACTTTCGGATAGACCTTTCTATTGACTTGAGGGCAGCATCCGCGAGAGAGGATCTCTTGTTCCCGTTTAAGAGGGCAGAGAGAGATGATCACGATGGATGAGAATCAGGCACAGTACCGCAGATACTGTAGGTTTAATCGCGATTTACTCGCAGCTTGCTGCCTTGTGAATTATTTGGCAGCAACATATTAACCGGTGACGGCAGTGGATAAGCGCAGAATGAATAAAGCGCACATTTGTTTTCTCGTTACAGGGCAGTTGCATTCGCCTGGTGGCGACAGCGACAATAGCAACGGCAGCCAACGGGCCGTAGTCGTCGCTCGTACGGAGCTAGAGCAGCAGCAACAGCAACAAGAATTGCACCAACGGCAACGTCAGCGACAGCTTTCCTCGGCTATACTCACATGTGCTAATCACCCGAGCAATACGACCACCACCACAGCCTTCACAGTTGCTTCAAGTATGCTCCTGTTGCAGACGCAGGTGAGTCTGGAGGTGATGTCCTTTTGCGTCCGTCGTCGGAGTGCGTCGATGCGTCAGGTTGGGTTAGTTTGGTCTACACAGGATTGTCGATCGCTGCTTCCGGTTTCCTTCGTAATCGACATGCAGGCTCAAATCATTTTCTCGAGCCAATAACTAAATAACAGCTTTCCTTTGTGGACCACCTTAAATGCCCTTACACGATTATCAATAATTTATATTTATCGAGATAAATATTGCGAAAGTTATTTCTATCTCCTTGTACGTAATTCCGCGTCTCCGGTAAACTACTGTTGCATTTGACATAGCCGAATCGTTCGACCGACGGGCCTTTTAGATTTCTTCCCATCGTTTGTGTCTCTTTTGCTCTCAAGGCTAATTAGCCACGACAGGTGTGACAGTTCGTCGCCTAAACGGGTCAGCGAGAATGAAATCGCGAACAATAGGGAGGACCGTTGGGTGGGGGTGGGACTCGCTTCTGCCGTGCTGTCGTCGTCTCAGTCCGTATAGTCACGGCTCGGGAAGCGCGATGGCACGTAATAGTCGAGGCATCGGGGCGCTGCGGCTCCCTCGGGAGCGATGAGCGAAATGTCAGCCAGTAGCGGAACCGCTGTCGCAAATTGAATATCCGCCCGTCGACGAGTCGCAGAAGAATGTACATGTACATCGGTTGCCTTTGTCAGAGGGGTTAGAGTCCCGGTTGCCGCTCGCGAGAGGTTGGGGCTGGGGCTGTTTGGCTAAACTCATTTACATACTAATTTCGAAGGCAACGTGTTTCCTTTTCATTCGTTTCTCCTTTTTACTCCGTCTACGATTCCTACCGGCTCCGTCGATCTCGATTTACCCTGAGACTGTACGAGTTAGACCGACGAACGGAGCATGGCTAACCTAAAAAGCTGCCTGTTCGATTCTCCATATAGAAGGTCTTAGGTCGATCACGGGAACAGCCCAATCACCGATCTCCATTCTCGATTAAATATAATCGACAGAAAGTCGCGTTCGATTTCAGAGTCCATTTGGATGTAGCAGCTTTGCCGATCTGCTGACAGCCCCGTACACGGACTCTGCGGACGCAGGAAGTCTGCCCGAGGAGTTGGATCCATTTCCGGAACTTCAACTGGGAAATCCTCACGGCGTCTCCGCCACGGTCGTCCCGATCCAATCGGAGCCGAACGCTCACCACCAGCTTCACCAGCAGGAGCAGTCTCCCCTACCGGAAGACGTGCAGACGGATTCCCTCAGGTTGGTATATCGGCTACCCCGAGCATACGATTCGCCATTTCCTTTGCGGCGTAGAAACCGTCAGGAAATATTAACGATAAATTGCAGTCCAACGCCGCTCCCCAGCTTCCAGGAGACGTACACGGTGCAACGATACACCAGGCAGGAGCTCCAGGGTCTTGGAATCAAGATGGACGACGACTGCTACAATCCCATGTATCCTTGCACCAGTCCTTATCCTGCCGAGTATTCGTCGCTTCCCTATCATCAACATCATCATCATCATCAGCAGCAGCAGCAGCAGCAACAACAACCACCGCCACCACCGCCGCCACCACCTCCACCTCCGACGCAACAACATCACCACCACCATCCTCATCATCATCAACAGCAACAGCAACATCATCAGCATCACAGCCAAGGTTACTTCGGCACGGAATCCGCCGCCACGGCAGCGCAGCCTCCTACGAATCCTCAGGAGCCTTCGTACCCGGCTATTCCTGTCGTTTACGCTCCTCCGGCGGTCGTCGCGAGTCCCGTTGCTTCCGCCTCCGTACCGTCTGACCTTCACGCAGCCGTGTCTACGGGGACACCCCGACCACGTCGCGCGTCCTTACCTCCACAGCGATCAGAGTCCACCAGGTACGAGCAAGACCCTCGAGAGAGAGAGTCTTATCTCGCGGGTTGCAATTCGAACCGTGCGTCCTAATGCAATTTATTTTTCGGATGGTGCAGTAGCAACGAGTCGCCGAAAGCACGTGGTGCCAGTTCCGTAAGTTCCGTGGGATCAGCCTCACCGGCCAGTGGCGGTGAACGGGCCCCTCCTAGTCCGAGTCAGTTGTGCGCGGTGTGCGGCGACACTGCGGCGTGCCAACATTACGGAGTGCGCACCTGCGAAGGGTGCAAGGGCTTCTTCAAGAGGACTGTCCAGAAGGGTTCCAAGTACGTGTGCCTTGCGGAGAAGGCATGTCCGGTCGACAAGAGGCGACGGAACCGCTGTCAGTTCTGTCGCTTCCAAAAGTGTCTGACGGTCGGAATGGTTAAGGAGGTAATAGCGCAAAGGAACGGTTCCTCCTAATATCTCTCTACTCGTCCTCCAGACAGCTAATCCCTGAAGTCCAATCCAAACGAGCGTCTCCGCGAGCAATGACTCATGTCTCGGTGTGCATTCCAGGTGGTCAGGACGGATTCCCTGAAGGGCCGCCGAGGTAGACTCCCGTCGAAGCCCAAGTCCCCGCAAGAGTCGCCTCCGAGTCCACCGGTGTCCCTGATCACGGCGCTCGTACGAGCCCACGTGGACACGACGCCCGACCTCGCGAACCTCGACTACTCCCAGTATCAGGAACCAGCACCTGGCGACCCACCGGTCACGGAGGCCGAGAGGATTCAGCAATTCTACAACCTACTGACCACCTCCGTCGACGTGATACGCAACTTTGCCGATAAGATTCCCGGATTCTCGGAGTTGACACGAGAGGATCAGGTTAGTCTCCTGCCACTTCCTCAATCCCAGGAATAGACGTAGTGTGCGCTGTCGGATCTCCTTATCAGTTTTTCAACGAGATAGAAACAGTCCGCGATCGATATCTCGCGTACATTTTATAAAAGGTCATTCCCGACGAGAGCTCAGAACGGATAGCGACGAGACAGCGTGATCCAACGAATAGCCAGAAGTGAGTAGTCGTCGAGTGGAATCGCCAGCCACGCGAGCCACGCGAGCCACGCGGTCAGGCACAGAGGCGCTACTCCTTCTATTCCCCGCTTCTTCACTGCTGACTCCTCGAGGTCTACTAGGCACACAGAACCCTCCTGTGCCCCTGTGCCCCTGTGCCCCTGTGCCCCTGTGCTCCTGTGCTCTGACGAACGGACCAGTTGCCGGAAAACCGTCGAGCCACCGGCAGCCTCTTCCCCGCGCGCCACAGAGAAAAACTATTCGATCCTCTTCTCTGCCTTTCCCAGGAGCTGCTCTTCCAGTCGGCCAGCCTTGAATTGTTCGTCCTGAGGTTGGCGTATCGCACGAGGGCCGACGACACCAGGTTGACATTTTGTAACGGCATGGTCCTGGCCAGGGCTCAGTGTCAACGCAGTTTCGGCGACTGGCTGCACAGCATCCTCGACTTCTGCCAGGCCCTCCACGTTCTGGACGTCGACATCAGCGCCTTCGCCTGCCTCTGCGCCCTCACTCTCATCACTGGTCAGTCTACACGTTCCGCCGTCTCCCTCTAGCTACCTTGGCCTCTTCCTTCCTCCTTTTCAATTCCTTACTTCTTCTCTCTTCTTGTCCCCCTGACGATATATCTCGTCAACCCGATCGGAGGCCCTTGGACAGGTGTGCCAATTCAAGCTCAGCGGAGCGACCAGTCTTGCGCCAGAATTCAATTACTTATCATTGATTTTGTTCTTACTTATTAATGTCGACGTCCACGAGGCTAGACGGGTAATACCGATGTTAGAATCACGCGACTGGCCGCCCCATTTCGGTTTCTCGATATTGACTTTCACACACAGCCGCAGCTTGCGGTACGGCGTTCGTAAAAACTAAATCGTTGGATTGCCCCCCCCCTCCGCCCCCCTATCCACCTCCTCCTCCGTCCCTCGTTCGACTCTTGACGCGACGCGAACGCGGGACGCGGTGGTCGATTTTGGCTAGTCAGCAGTCATTGTCGGTAATTCTCTGAAAATTTGTGGTTACAGAAAGACACGGGCTTAGGGAGCCGCACCGAGTGGAACAGCTGCAGATGAAAATAATATCATCCCTTCGCGATCACGTAACGTACAATGCGGAGGCCCAGAGGAAGGCGCACTACCTGTCCCGACTGCTCGGTAAGCTGCCGGAATTGCGAAGCCTCTCGGTCCAAGGACTTCAGCGAATTTTTTACCTCAAGTTGGAGGACTTGGTTCCGGCGCCTCCATTCATCGAAACCATGTTTGTCGCCAGTCTACCTTTCTAAGCCTCCGCAGTAACCTAGAACAATTCATTCGTACCTTAATTGTACCCCCTGTAAGCTTTTCCCCCCCCCTTATGACTCTGTCGTAATTCGTTTTCCCACTCGTACTCGTTATATACTCGTACTCCTCTCACCGTCGTCGTCGCTGCTATTTCTCCGTTTCCCGTTTCCGTTGCTGACGCTCCTGGAGCTCCTCGTGCTTCTGGCTTCTACGATCACTGTCAGATGAGTACGAGTGTATTACTAATGTGTGTCTGTGATAGGGCAATGATGGATACTTTTAATTATTAAGGACGACACAGGCGATGCCGCAGCGATTTCTTGCTCTATCGAGAGAAAATTGGAAGTCACGTAACCACGCGATCCTCCTATTCTCTCTCTCTCTCTCTCTCTCTCTCTCTCTCTCTCTCTCTCTCTCTCTCTCTCTCTCTCTCGCCTTCCCCTTCCGTTCCCTCCGCTTCAGCTCCCTGACGAATCCTCTACCGATGCAAATTCTCGAATTTCAGCGTCCCGCCTAGCCATAAACGCGACTAATATGACGTCATTAGAAAGTACAGCCCGATTTATTAGCCTAGTCGTATCGCGCGCCGTGGTCCTTGATTTTTATGTCCTCGTCACACGAGAGATCGCTGGGAGGATCCCATCCCGTGGAATTTCATTCTCTTGCGCTATTTATGGACGACTCGACCGATTATCGATACGTCCCTGAGATCCGGCTATTCCGTAGTCCGTTCACGAGTTGGATGTACTTTTTTGACAGTCGACAAACAATGCAATTCACACGTGGATTTCCATAAGGTTACGAAAACATGTGCTAAGGTAGAAAAATAATATATAAAAAATGGTATGCAGAGCCACGTGTGGCTTGCCAGAGACTTGGTTGTTTTCGATCTGTCGAGAAAACACGTCTTGACCCGTGGACCGATTAAATATCATTTCCAGAAGAAGATTAGGATTGGGATGACGCTTCCGGTCGATATAATTGATCGATCGGTTATTGTTTAAAATCCTTGATCACGAGAACAAATTCGAAAATTAACGGACACCGTAATTGCTCGCTTTTTTTTTGGTAAAACATCCGGTCGACCGGTTCGCATCACGCGACGTTCCACGACGCTGTTGCCGAAGATCCTTCCTTCGAAAGTGTCGTCTCCCCTCGCTCCCTCTCGCTCCCTCTCACCCGCACCATATCCGATTCTCTTTCCGCGAGCGAATCAACAATCGTTAACATATCAGTGCTGAGCATTGACTGCTGGGGGAGCAAAGGACGCTGCTCTTTCACATTCTTTCTCATTCGGCGCAACGTTCTTCTCGATCGAAACTTTTCCTACTGACTCGAGAAGGGACGGAAAGAGTCATGGATAGAAAAAGAATTTTCGAGATTCGATCGACTCAAGTATTCTATACAGTAATATATAATCGCGTGCGGAGAAAGAAATCTGGTGGAGCCGGAGTTGCCTTCAGGATGAGATCTCTCTTTGCATCACGTATGTTAAATTGTCACGAAACTTTCTTACTATTTCTATTACTCTTGATACGTACTGCTATCGATGAGCGTCTCGTCGTGTGGAGATAATTTAAGCGCCTTATAGATCAATGCATTTCGTTAGGACGTTCCCCATCCGAACCCTCGTGAATCGTGGACGGATCGATCGATCGCTCCACTGCTATACTCATACGTTTATGTGATTTTAGAGACTTAAGGATAAACGGTCTCGTCTCGTCTCGCGAGCCGCCGCCCAAGGATTCACGGATATCGACAGACAACTCGGGTCGGCTGTGTTCCTTCTCTCTCTCTCTCTTACCTTGCCCAGTTTTTTGACTCTCAACTGGTGAGAATAATTCGTGATAATGGATCGAGACGAGTCCGGCGTCAAGTTACCTATTACGTTATGGTGTTACTTTTAATTAAACTAACATAGACAGTATCCTAGTTTATGCGTGTAGCAATACCATATTTGTTACTATTACTATTTACTAGCAACTATCGTTACTACTACTGATACTATTACTAATTACTTCTACTACCGCTGCTGCTGGTGCTGTTGCTGTTGCTGCTGCCACCCACGCCGACCGGCAAGCCAGCAACCTCCTCATCGTTATGTTGTCGTGACCGATCATCGTCCATAAGAAATGTCAGAATTCTCATAATACCTTTATATTTAAGATAAAATCGTTTCTGGTGTCAAGGATACTTGGCAGCCACTATACCTACCGATTTCAATGATTAGCGGGCAACTCTCGCTACAGCCAATTACCGTTAACTATTACGTATCATTGTTCGCTATTCCTAGTGCAGTAATGCTACACTTACGACACTGTAATGGAGATTGTTCTTGCCATTGCTATTATTGCCTTTATTGCCATTAATACCACGACCAGTACCTATGCGTATTCCGCAACTATAGCACTCTAAAGGAGTGCGTTCTATGGAAGAGGAAGGATATTTAACAGTACAGTAGAGAAGGTGTCTGCTCCTTAATAATTAAATGCAATAACGTCCCACACGATAACCACCTGTAATAACTAATTAATCAAATTCTCGAGCGTGTCACGTGTTTCGACGTAGATGAAACAAATTCTTGTTTTATAACATACTCGATCCCCCCCACCTATTCTCTCTTTCTCTCTATCTCTCTGCTTGGATAACATAATCGCTACTATCACCCCACTACTGTGTTTGGATCCATGTACAATATATACATACATACATAGACTGAGCGTCATTAAAGGTGTCCAGCTCGTTGACACAGTGCGGTGAGGTAAGAGAGGATAGTGAGCGGTAACTACGCGTACAACACAGCGAGAGCACTACGGTGCGACTTTGCGAGCGGGACGCCAAACCTTGCGAGATCAACACCAGAGTCATATTGCCGACTCCAGCCGTGTCGTTCGTCCAGTGCAATCCAGTGCAGTACAGTCCAGTGCGAAAAGGACGCACCGAACGATTCTTAGGCATTACGCTTGTACCGTAGTGCCCTCTGCGTTGCGCGCGCAGACCAACAGGCCAAGATAGGTGAGCAGGCGACGACAACTCCAGGCAACTATCCACCCTTACCTCATCGCACTGCGTCCAGGAGCTCTGGAACTATTAACGACGTTCACTGTATGTACACGTGTATCACAGTGAGTGAGTGAGGCTTTTGTCCGTTCCGTTCTTTTTTGTGTTTCACTTAATTTTCTCGGATTGTCCGAAAATTAACTTGTCACGAGATTCGCACGCACGTGTCCCTGCGCGTGTTCCCATCGTGGCGTACCTCAGTCTGTTTACGTTCGCACGTTCAGCAGTAGGAGAAACCGCACATGTGGATCGTCTGCGCGTACCCCTTCAGTATTCGTTCACAACACGCTGCCTTCTTCCTCTCTACGTGTGTGTCGTTGATTCATAGTTCTTTTTATTGTATTTGACATCTCACCCGAAAAATTTATCGAATATTTGTATCGGACAAGAGTTTTGCTAGTCGGATGGCCGCGGTACGCGCGATCGCACTTATTGCTTACTAAGGAGAATCGAGACGACCTGCGTGTGATTTGGGTGCGCGAAGGAAGCGAGTGATGCTTACGCGTGTGTGTGTGAGAGAGAGAGAGAGAGACAAAGAAATACGGGAATCGTTATTTATTACATCCATCCTGCTTTTGATCCCGATAGGAATAATTAAGACTCCAAGAGTCCGTGGTTGACTCGAGTCTGGAAAGAAAGTATTTGTGGAAATTGAAAGGTAAGGGTGCGAAGAAAGAAATGTTAAAAAGTGCCTTTCGGCCGAAATTTTATATTTTTACTAAATATTAAAGAGATGTATGTATCAATTTCGAAAGTGCCTGTCGGGGAAACGTGCTTGCCCCTCGCACGCTCTCGGGACGCAACAGCGGATCGATGCTTCTCTATGTCAAAACGTTCCTTTTCTTCACTTTTTTGCCTGTTTCACGTTCAAATCCTTCTTTCACTTTCATATTAATCGTAAATGGAATCGAGCAAACGATCTTAGCGCTGTCGCTGCGACGAAGCAACGCTTGTGCCGTTGCTCTTGTTGCTTACTGGCCATCCCTGCTCTCTCTCTCTCTCTCGCTCTTGCCACCGCGAAGTGTCTGCTTCCTCTTCTCTCGAAAGATCGAATCGCCATAGCGACACATCGAATGCAAAGTTTGATCGGACAAAAAAAAAGGGAAAACTCGATAGTACATCGATTGTTCATACATATATGATTAGGCGATTATCGTAACATGCAGACGGGATCCTCCAAGACTCGTTTGTCCCCCGGTAGGAAGTGATTGTCTTACGGTTAGACCGTTTAGTTTATAACATGTAGATCGGTCTCCAACATTGTGCAAAGACAACTGACGACACAAGCGTCACGTCTCTTGCCTACCCTCCCCCCCCACCCCCCTCTCGTTGTGTATTTCGCGTAAGAGCATCGACCCCCATGCATATGTATCCATTTAGCACATAAAAGCCGTGCATACATTTATTTCTTTTTTTGTTCTCGAATACCGACTAATCGTAGATACATGTTTTCGACAATTTTAACTTGAATCGACACAAGATGCCTCCCCCCC